TCAACGAGAGCACCAAATGATGGATCGTCTACCCGGGGGGTATCTTATCCGAGGGGTTATTGCGGGAATAACTAGAGAGAAGTCAGAGCAAAATAGGAGGAGAGAGAGTCGATCTATTAAATGAACTCAGCGTGCGTAGATGAGATGTAGATTGTGTGTATTACAAGGAGAAATGGGCTGCTATTTATAGCAGCAATAAATGCGATGAGAGGACACGTGTCAGTAATCCAACGGCCGAAGGGTCACATCAGCCTAGTGGCACCGGCAGTGGTACGTCAACCGCATTGAATGCGGTTGGCGGATGTGACGTGGCATTAAATGCAGTGGTTGGCTGTCTCTAAAAGGAATCTTCGATGATTGAGCTTGTTCAGCCGAAGGCTCTTCGTGTAGCCGAGGGCTCCCTATGTAGCCGAGGGCTCATTGTGTAGCCGAGGGCTCCTTGTGTAGCCGAGGGCCCCTTGTGTGGCCGAGGGCTTCTTGTGCAGCCGGGGGCTCCTCGTGTAGCCGAAGGCTTGGTTCAGCCGAAGGCTTACCCTGGTGCTGAGGGCATGAGAATGCCGAAGGCTTATGTCTCCGCCCGTTTTCTCCCAGCAGCTTCTTATGCCAAAGAAGGCTATCCTGTGAGTTTTGAAGCCTTCGGCCAAGGAGGCCGAAGGCACCCCAGTGTGTATTCTGGGCCACTTTGAGGCTTGGGCCGTTGTATTTGGGCCTGAGTTGTTTCCTGAGCTCAATGGACTTGTGTAGGAGAAATAGGAGTCTATGGGCCGGGGGTTCCTGGGCCATATACTCCATCAGACCGTTCATTAATAACTCTTACTATTAGTCAAATATATAACAACGTCGTATACCGATATAATAGTAGCATTTAATCTCTTTAACTCCTTGATGAAATCAATTGAGATTGATAACCTCAACACAACGGTTTCGGTTTAACCAACAAAATTAATTCCTCTTAAGTTTATTAACCACGAGCGTGCATTAATAAACCGAAGTTACTTACTTGGGAAACCATCAACGATTAACCATCGGTTCGTTGATCGTTTCTAGTAATAATTAATGTCGGAACGTTAACTAATTGTCACTTAGCAACCCTCCAACATTAATATAGAATGAGATTAAGGGAAGAATTAATAATCAAGAGAAGAACTTAAGAAAATAACTCACAACTTTAATAATCAACAAGCTTCAAGAGTAAAACCAAGAAATGGAAGTTTAGCTCCTCATTTGGAGACTAATTATGCTAGAAAAATATAAAGAAATGTTATTCTAAACTGAGCTTAAGAGTATGGAAGAAGGGATGATTATTTGTGAAGGAAAAGTGCTATTTATAGGTGTTTTTCAACACCTTGGGCCGGGTACCCGACCGGGTCAAGTGCTCACCCGACCGGGTGCATGTCAAGATTAGATAATCTTCCACGTTCTTGTGTTTCAGCACGTTAAAATGTCTCGGCTCAAATCCGACCCGACCGGGTGGATTAGTTGACCCGACCGGGTCCAGCTCTTTCGTCTGAGGTTCGGTTTTTAAATCAGACCCGACCGGGTGAAGATTTCTACCCGGTCGGGTGGATCTCTCTGGGCCGCATTCCTGTTGACTTTTTCTCATTTTCCTTGCCAAAAACTCTACCACTATTCTACAACTATAAATGGAAGTAAAAACCAATTACAACTGCAACAAAACAAATGCTTACAAATTAACTAATAATGGTAAACAATCCACACAAAATAAATATAAAAACATACATTTATGCACTACAAACTAGTGCATGTCAGTTCTCCTTTAGATTTTTTACAAGTTATACTTTCAGGAGGAAGATGAGTTCACCCGATTGGCAAAAGAGTTTTCAGGACCTGAAAGCGTGGTATTTACTCTAAATATTTGGTTAAGGCCTAGAGAGGAATCTTACTACTTGGAAACTTAGAATTTTTTAAAATTTCAGACTGGATCATTACAACAATCTGTGTCCAGCCCGCTGTTGAATAAGGAGAAAAGGTATGATTTAGATGTGGACACTGAGAAACTGAAGCGTGAGCTGTTTGGAGAGTTTGAGGCTTCAACGTCTGCCAAGAAGCTCAAGGGAAAAAAAAAAAGGAATGAAGATTGTGTGTTTACTATGTTACGTGTTTCAGTGTTCATCTATTTTATAATGCTCTGAACTCATCTATATGTTTACTAAATACATTAACTATGTTATGTGTTTCAGTGTTCATCTATGTTTCATCTTATGTGTGGAGTTGTGTTCAATAAGGGCAACTTTGGCTACCTATTTTGGGACCCTTTAGGGCTTGGTGTTGCCAAATGTTTGGCTGTTTTAAATGTTTTTAGGCTCCGGACTCAGCCATAAGAGAGTGCCAATCATGTGTACTGAAGATGCATTTCTATATAAAATATTTTGTAAGATATGCCTAAGGACTCTTTAATGTTTGGGTGTTGGTGTTGGAATTCTTTAATCTTACTTCTGTGTGTACAAACTAATACGATACTTTGGCAGTACAGGATTAAAAATTTACCATGAAAATTTATAATGCTCTGAACCCATCTAACAAGTACCACTTCACCTTCGGTGTATTGGTTCCATGCATGTAGAAATACAATAGACGCCAGTACTACAATGAAATTTGTTGAGTAATAAGATATATTGGAAAACGTAATTTTCAATGAGTAAGGAAATGTTTGGTGTAGTTAAATAAAGTATGCATGTTTAAAAAAAATAAAGTATGCATAGAATGTTTAAATTTGTTCTAGCTGTGTGTAGGTTGTTTGGGCACATTTGGGCATCCCTCGATGTGGGTTTGTTTTTGGTTTGTTAATGAAACGAGTATCAACGTTAGGTTAACGACAAGGTTCATGGAGGCGTACCTGTTATCTCTTCCGAATGACCATCTGTTGCCCTACATCTACCCTAAATCTATTTATTACATTTACAGACCCAGGATCAAAACAAAATTTTAAAACAAAAACGAGATGGCAAAGGGATTCATCAAAGCCGAAAATTGGGTAGTAGCCAGTGAATTCCTGCAAGTCCAGCGTTTAAATCCACATTAGAAATGAACAGTAATTCTAATCACTGTATGTAAAATTATGAATGATCATGATTTGAAGTGAAAAGTTGTGTTTAGATTCTAAAAATAAAGTGGCAGTAGTGACAAATTTGCAAGACAAAACTGTATTTTATAGGACAATATACCATATATCACCCCCCTGATGGGCTGGCATATGAAAAGCAATTAGTTTAACCTAGGCAACTCTTATAATGACGTTTTTTTTTAAATACAAACATTTGTGGACTGTCTGGGACAATAATATTCACTATTGCAGACTTCATATTTGATATCTATCCTAATACTACAAATTTTCGTTATCATGATTTGAAGTGAAAGGTTATTTTAATTTTAAATTATAAAAAAATGGCAGTAATAACAAATTTGCAAGGCAAAAAAAGTGTTTTATCGGACAATATACCATATATCACCCCCTGATTGGTTGGCATATGAAAGACAATTAGCTTCACCTGGGCAGCTCTTATAATCACATTTCTTTAAAATACAAACATTTGTGAACTGTCTGGGGCAATAATATTAACTATTGCAGACCTGATAATAGATATCTATCCTAATAATACAAATTTTTGTGACGTGTTCTTTAGTAGCAATAATGAATGATGTCAACTGTAAGGATGTTTTTACTTGGACTGTAATTTGCTGGTCTGGTCTGGTCTGGTCTGGTCTGATCTGGTCTGGTCTGAACTGGTCTGGTCTGGTCTGGTAAGGTCTGGTTTCTTTGTATTTTTATAACTATCCAAGTCTGGTCTGGTCTGGTCTGAAATGGTCTGGTCTGGTCTGGACTGGTCTGGTCTGGTCTGGTTTGGAGCAAATTACAGTCCAAGTAAAAACATCCTAAGAGCACATGGCCGATAAATGTTTAATCCAAATTTAAATTGTTTAGAGATGCATAAAATAGTTTTTGGAGCATCCGGCCCCAAAGTGACGGAGGGATTTGACTATTTTCTTCGAATTTGATACAAAGGATGAATAATGTGAGATACATACTTTAGGTGCAAAATTGGTTATTGGGAAAAAAATTGAATTAAAGTGTTCCATGTGTAAATTGATCTAGATATATATGCATCACATATTTTTCATGTGCCAAGGCCCCAAACTGACAAAGTAATCTACTTATTACCTAGGATTTTAATACATAAGATGGTGAATCTAAGATAAAGATTTTAGGTGCTAAAATACATGTAAAATTATGTATTGGAAAAAAATTTATTATTTAATCTTTCCATGTCTTGTGGTTGTATTTTAAAATCGGCAGATTAGTTTCTTCATCAGACAAAATATCAAGTTTGAAAAATAAAATCCAAGGGCCCGTAGAGTGATGAAAATAGTGGTGCCCGCATTTTGTGAGTTTAGTGGTGAGGTAAATATTTGGAGGCTTAGCAGAAAATCATCAAAATCTAACTCTTTAAATACTTCTATTGCATGATTGGTTGTATTTGAAATGGAAAATAGTCCTCTTAGTGGACGAATGGTGTTGGTTTGGAGTTAGTGGAGATAATAATTGTGTATTAGAAATGGACAATTAAGTCTCAACTATATATACAATTATTTATTGAAAAATTTTAACTATTTATTTAATCAATGTCTAGGGGTTTGATTTTTTAAATCGGCAGATTGATTTCTTTATTGGACCAATTTAAGGTTAGGAAATAAAATCTAAGGACGTACAAAAAATAATGAAAACACTGGTACCCAGATTTGGCGAGTTTATTGTTGTGGTAAATATTTGTACACATCACAGAAAATCTTCCAAATCTGACCCTGGAAATTGTGCTTTAACATGATTGGTTGCTTTTGAAATGTTAAATAGTTCTCTTAGTGGACGAATGCTTTTGGTTTTGAGTTAGTGGAGGTAATGATTGTGTTTCACTGTTTTTGGGTTAAATTTTTGGTAATGTCATACCAAGTGCACTACGTATTAACCTACTATAAATACCACTTGATTAAAAAAATTATCATTGTGAAAAGATCTATCTCTTCCTCTGTGAAACTTTTTGGCTTCACTTCTTCACTGTCCAGATCCTTCAGCGGAGGAATATTTCCTACATCAACATGTGTGGAGTCAAAGGTTAATAACTCCAACTCAACTTATTAAATAGCTATTAAGTAGAAAATATAGAACATCATCAAATGCATTTTTTACTTAAAAATAATGGTGTAATGAGTTTTTTTCAAGGTGTCTTACGTTTTTCAATTATTAATATTTGTGAAGATAACAACAAGGAATTTGAAGCATTTTTGAGTGATTTAGGTGGAGGTGTGCTTACTGGTGGTTTCATAAAACAGTGTGAGATCTGTTATGAACTCGGACATGGTGACGACATGTACACCCTTGGGTGTGCATGTAATTTGTGGTACTGTCGTCGGTGTGATGCCTTCTACGATCTCGGTTTTCTCCGTGAATTAAGGAATCCCTTTCACTATGCTCTCACCCGCGGTTCTTTCGTGCACTTTTGGTGCTCATGATCTCCGGTGGTTCGTTGAAGATGTGGGGGAATCTTCGGTGGTTGACACTGCCGTTGTGAGTGACGAGGTTGTCCGACGTCGTTCTGCACGTGCTGTCCATTTGAATAAGATGTACTTTGGGGGAGACTTTGTTGTTGACTTTGATTTCGGCTGGCTGACTAAAGCTTAATGACTAAAGCTTGCAAGGGGGTTTTCATGTTCATTTTTGCTTTCTTTCTTATGTGTGCTAGACTGCTAGGTACAGTACGAGTATACGTAGTTAATTCACCAATGTACGGAGCACTTCGTATGATGAGTACAAAATGAGAATGGCGGCTAGCTAGGGTTAGGGTTTAACGATTTTTTCCTGTACACGTGAGGACGTGAGGTAATTATGTACTCCCTCCGTCCCCTTTTAAATGTCCCGTTTTACCATATTGGGATGTCCCTATTTAATTGTCTCATACCTTATTTGGTAAACTTTGTGTGGCTCAAAATCATTCTTACTTTATTCTTACTTTATCAATTAATATCAACCACACAAACTCACTTTTCTTAAAACTCGTGCCACCATCTCCCGTCCCATTTAAAAGGGGACGGAGGGAGTATATATATACATATTTATTTATTTTGATTTAGAATATATACTTAATAAAAATTTATTTTGGTTTGTTTAAGTCTGGTTTAAAATGTTTTGTTGGTTTGATCTAGTCCGGTCTGTTTAAGTCTGGTCTGATCTGGTCCGGTTTGTTTAAGTCTAATCTGTTTATGTATATATACATATTTATTTATTTTGATTTAAAATATTTACCTATAAAAATTGTCCTAAGCTAGACTTTAAATTGAACTTTAAAACCCATACTTAAAAAATGCAAAAACTTTTATTCATAAAACTAAATATTTTTTCTCAAAAAGACAAAGATTAAAAAAGTAATTTATACGAAGTAGTAGTAGGAAGTACGGAGTACTACATTTGTTTCCTTTGAAATTTGAACCAATCGTTATTCCGTCCTGTCCTTCTATGGTGAGCATCATACTTTCGCGCTTAAAATAATCATTAAAGTTTAATTTAATAAATAAATGCACATGTGAACCAAACAGATACTCAATATGAAATATAAATCGCATGTATGAACATGTAATTAGTGTTACAAAAAATGTAACCTCGGGTAGCATCACCAACAAATGTAAACTCCTAAACTTATACGGATCGGAGTAATTTTTAAATGTATTTGAAAAGATACTATAAGATTGAGGTTTTTCATTGGATTTCGCCCAAATCAACAGTTTTTGATATTTTCATTGGCATTGAGGTTTTCTATTATCCAAACTTATCATAATATGTCATTCTCAGACGTTTTCGGTTTCTTTAGATGTCCACTGAGTTATATTTTATTTTCTGTGCATCAATGTTGCATTAAGCTTTCAAAAAAAAAGATACTATATAAGAGACTAGAAAGTCCACCAAAAAATGTATAAAAAGTGTAAATACAAAATGATATGTAGTATCTTATTGCTTTTTATGATTGATGGAACTAAACCCACGTACTCACTCTGTCTCAATGGACTTCCGCCAAGATGGAGGTAATATTAAATTTCTTGTATAACGTGTTTATAAATATGTTTTTTAGATTTGATCAATTTTTTTCAATTTTTCATTGCAAAAAGTAATTTATCTAAAAACCTCTTTCCTTTTTACTAATAGGCCTTGTCTTCCGCAGTTCCGCGCCCAGGCTTTGGTGGTCAACTAAAGAGCCCAGTTGACCACCTTTTCCACATATTTCTACTATGTGGGGCTTTTTCCCACCGCCTCATGCCTAGGTGAGCTAGACCCCGCCGTTTGATGTCTTTTAGAACATAGCATGTCGTTATGACTAAAAATATTTTTTCAAAAATGTTACTAAAATAAATCTTATACTCCCTTCGTCCTGAAAAGGTTCGCCAACTTTGACTTTCACATGGATTAATAAAGTAAAAACTGTGTGGTTGAAATTTGTGCAGAGGAGAGAGAATTAACTTTAGTCACATATATATTCCTTACTTTAAATGGAAATGGCAAATCTTTTTGGGACATCCAAAAAAAGAAATTTGGCAAATCTTTTCGGGACGGAAGGAGTATACACAAATATGATTAATAATTACTACAATTTAATGTCATGATAAATTAAGTTTACAAATTAAACGTAACATACAATGACTTTATTACTACTTTAGTCATCAGTCACAATTTTGTAAAGTCTTAATTTTAGTCATAAATAATTAAGTAAATATTTCTTAGACTAATGGGAAAAAATAGAAACATAGATTTTTCCATTTGTGCCATCCGTTGACACGAAAAGCCCGGTACAACTTTGCAGAGTTTACTTAGGGAGTGCATGCGATTGCTTTTACTTTAATAAATTGATTTTTAAAATTAATTTTGGAAAAAGTGCTTATTAGTAAAAGTTGATAGTGTTTAAGAAAAAAGTGTTTTTGAAAAAGTAAAGGTGGATAGTGTTTGATAAAATAAATGTTTTGTGTGTAATAGAAAAAGTGATAAGCAATATGGTGGTGTTTGGATCTGATTCTTAAAACTGTTTCTGCTTTTTCAGGGAGCAGAAGCAGAAATTGGAGTGTTTGGGTGAAGTGCAAAACTACTTCTGATGCCCTAATTTACTCCTAGAATAAGTTTTTTAGAAGTTGGGGGAGACCAACTTCTAAAAACTAATTCTGATTCTGCTTTTGCTTTAAAAAAGAAGCAAAAGCAAAATCAGTTCCAAACACCCCCTTTAAAACACATCTCTACTTGTTTCCAACTTTTACCTTTAAAATGCTTTTTTTAAGTAGAAGCTAATTGTCACTTTTTTATCATCAAAATGACTTTTTCATTAATATAGAGCAAACGTGTAAGACAAAATCCAGACAACATTTACAGACCCGATCGTAAACCCTAAAAATAGACTCAGAGTTAGTCACACATACAAAGCAACCTGACTTGCTAGACACACAACGAGCAAGAATAATCCTAAAACGATCGAAACTTAAACATTGTCTACCAAAAGTTCTTCAAAAATCAAAATATCCCATCCATACATGCTCGAACTGAAATAAAAATAAGTACTATGAAAGGAAAATAATACGAAAATAAAATATTTCTCCAAACTGCTTTCTCGCACGGAGGTGGTTCCGGAAGAGGACGAGCTGCTATAGTATGGTAGAAGAGAATTTCAACCCCCGGAAATTCATCTGAAACTCTATCCTTCTTGCGCTCGCCAATTTGGTCTTGCCAATTTACTCCTTGAAATTTGCCATTGAAATTCATGCCCGAGGTACAGAAGAAAACTCTATCATGTTGCCTCACTTGCGTTCCACTCACGTTCCGAAACTCACGAAAGAAAAACAGCACGAAGCACTCGTTCCACGAGAATCCAAGTCGCACGAGCGAAGCTAAGAGAAAACCTCAGGCTGCCGAACCAAGCTAATTGTCACTTGAAAACACTCATTTCAGGTTTTTTAAGTTAAGAGCTGAGAAACACTTTTTTAATTTCTTACTAACCCTCACTTAATATGTACGTCATTTAGTTTGTCACAAATAGGGAAAAGGGTCAGATAGGCCCTCGAACTTACATAAAAAGGTCAAATAAGTCCTTATATAGGAGGCTCTGTCCGGCCATCGTCATTTGGTGCGGTTCCCGATGGAATTTTTTTATGAAATTTTTTTAACATGTTCTTCATTAGGTCTAATTTACCCATACCAAATTTAAAATAAATATTCAACCGGAAAGACAGTCGAATGATTTTCTGAAATGTACTGCGCTTTTAACTGCGCAGTTATCTTCAAGAATTCATTTGAATGTCTTCCCGATTGAAGTTTTAGCTGAAATTTTGGTATGATTAAACTAGACTTAGTGAATAAGATGCTCAAAAAACTTCATCAAAAAGTTCCACCGGGAACCACCCCAAATGGCGACGGCCGGACAGAGCCTCCTATATAAGAGCTTATTTGACCTTTTTATGTAAGTTCGAGGGTCTATCTAACCCTTTTCCCGTCACAAATATACACGTGCATTTTTCAATTCTATGGAAAATCTAAAATATTCAGTTGCATTTGTCACTAATGGTTTTGTAACTAAGTAATAATTTAATATATTTCGATTTTTGTGCCTAAATAATTTGTACTCCAAAATATTTTTCCTCTTCATACATTTGTCAGGAACAATATCTGATTATCTGAACTTCACTAACACAAACACACAATAATAAACATATCACAAGTACATGTATACTCCGTATGAATTAGATGTACACATACGCTTATTTGTTTGAGCATGATTTTCAAACAAAAAAATAATAAGCCAGAACCTGAATACAATAATTTTAATTAACAACTTCAATACTAGGAACTCAATAATTAACGGACCACTGTTTTCCATTTTTGTCCTCTTAGCTTCACATCTTTTTACAGACTTAGCACCAAGAAATAGGGCTACATAAACTGGTAAATGTGTGAATCCCTAAATGATAGCTTCACACGATTCACAAAGAAACAACCTCAGATTTAATCACGAAGTACAATAGTGGACAGCTCACAGAAAACATTAATTTAGGTCACCATTTGGCATTAACTCATTATCATACCGTTAATTTGATCAGAGGCTATTCTTGAAAAATATCTGGATAAAATCACAACTTCGTCATTTAGTTTGGCATTAACCTCCTTCCTACAACATACATTTTGAGGCAGCATACACAATAACACGAGTTAAAAAGCAATGCAATGTATAAACAAATTTTAAATGACTGCATGAAGATTGAAGACAAAGATAACTCTAAATATATTTCTATTATATACTCCGTACTTCATGCACTGCACTACAGTACACTTGGTTGGTGAGATAAGCAAGGAATGCAATGGCATTTTGCAGGTTGATGTGGATTTCTTCTTATTCAACTTATTCTAGTTGATAAATGATAAACATGAGTAATGTATCATGTATGCCAAGAAAAAATAAAATCCTAAACACCATAAGGAATGTAGTGTTATTTTTCAATTAAGTGTATGTTCGTGTACAAGCGATGCCTTTCAATTTATGATACATAGGCTAGCCTTATTACATTTAGGAAATTCCAAGCTAATGATGGCATTCATCCCTCTATTTATTATGGCGAACCACTTTTGAGTTCTGATGATGATGATGGGAGACTACTAAGCTACATTTATTACAACATTAAACTGCCTCACGAAGGGTCATAATCGTAATAGAAGACAACCGGCCATGCCATACACTAGCCGTTGCCCCTGTCATGCATTTTCTAGTTGTTGCTAACAGGGGCCACTAGTTGTTACTCCTGTCGTGCACGTTTCTAACAGGGGAAGAGCCCGGGGGTCGGGTGGTCAGTCGACTCCCCCTGAAACTTTGTGAATGTAAAGCATTAAAATACCTTCGATTTGATATATTATAGCTCCCTTAACTCATTGTGACTCAAAAGTTATTTAAACTAGGGAAAATGGAAACTAATAATCCAACCTTTTAGCGGTGTTCTTTCGATAATCCCACTTTTTGATTATTCATGAATAATCCAACCTTTGCATCTCATCTTCATTCACTAGTCCCTGACCGGTTGATGACCTGCTATTCCAAACTATTTTCTTATCTTTGCAAATCATTATACCATAAATCTCATCTTTCACAAAGATAATATTTTGCAAAGATAAGAAAATAACTTGGAATAGCAGGTCATTAATCGATCAGGGACCAACGAATGAAGATGGGGTGCAAAGGTTGGATTATTCATGAATAATCAAAAGGTGAGATTATTTAAAGAAGACCGCTAAAAGGTTGGATTATTAGTTTCCATTTTCCCTTTAAACTAACGTTTACTCCACCTACGTATGAATTGTTCAACTCAAATTTTGTTTCAAAAATTCAACGTTATGATACTGTACATGACTATGTTCTTATCCCCAATATGTTTTTATGGCTCCATCACTGGTTGCTAATTGAGTTAAGAGACTGAACAAAATAAAGTTAATAATTAAATAAAAAGAAATACAGAAGACAATAAGAACCCATCTGGCAACCTGTCTTTTTGGCAGATCACTCTTATCAGCCAGATTCTTTACCAAAAAATTGAACTTTTGATTTTGTGAGCTTAAATTGTATAATAATCAAAACAAAAAAGGTTGGCGGTACTTTATTGGATTAATTTGCTCAAAAGGACATCTTTAAATTTTTTTCATAATTATAGGCCGGCCTGTTAAGCCAAGAAGGATTCAGAGTTAGGCTAAGCCTGGCCTAGTTAGACATGCGGGCTTTTCTAAAAGCTCAAGCCTAGTTTGTTTATTAAACAGGCCAAGCCACCTGCCCCTTTTAGGCGGCCTGGCTTATTCCCAGCCCTATTGACTAGGCAAGAAGATTTTATGTGTTTCCTTTCTTTAGCTTTAATTCATTTTTTTATCGTTTGCTTTTATCTTTCATTAGCGGTTGTACATTCCCTTGAATTTATTCTTTTTTCTCCAAAAAAGAATATATATATATATATACACACACATATATATAAGCAGAGCATAAGAATTACTCCTCCTATCCAGCTAAGATTGTCTCATCTTTCTTTTTTGATCCATCCCACTAATATTGCCCCATACCAAATTTGGAAAATTTTGTGTGGCTCTAAAATATTCTTACTTTATCAATTGAATATCAACCACATAAATTCACTTTTCTTAATAAGTGTGTCACCCCATCATGTCCCAATGTTATTGGGATGGAGGTAGTAAATTATAACTCTTAAGTATCAGTGATCACACATATTTCCTCTATTATTGTTCCGCAAAAAGATTTTAAAAAAGGGAAGCAAGGTGCACATTAGCTTCCCCGCAAGGCGAGGGTCCGGGGAAGGTTCCACCACAAGGGTGTATAGGGGGCAAACTTCCCCTTATCATGTTATACAGAGGCCACTCCCAAAACTTGAATATGTGACCTCTCAGTCACAATGCATCACTTTAACTGGTGTGCTAAGGCTCTCCCTTTAATTTCGCAAAAATATTTGAAAATTACATAAATAATGGTTCTTAAGAATTCTAAGAACTCTTACCAAGGAGGGTAAATGCGGATGAGGTTCCCTTTATCAAGTTCAACATCATTGCATATCGTCGGATTAAAGATGACAGTTAAAGAACTTCCTCCCTTAGTCTTTTTCAAATTGGGATGATTTATCCCATCAGAACTCTACAAAAGTACATTGAACAGTTCTTAGGCAATGATGAATAAAATCCTATCTAATATTTTCCTTTATTATTTAGCTGAGTCTCCTTCTTGAATAATCAATTTAAAGAAGAACATCCATTGACTACACGACTACCGTTCTACTTCGAAGTAAATTTATATATTAAAAAATAATTTCATGATTATTTAATTGCTCATCATCCAATCAAATGTAACTGCACTGTAGAAGAGTTTCCCCAGTTTAGATCACTTTATACCTACCTCTTCTCCTTTTAAAGTGCAATGACAAATAAACAGCTTTGCCTCCAAAGAGCTTGATAAAATTCTCACATCAATACAGATTTTCTCGCCTGAGGATAAGAATAGACCACAAAAATACACATAATAAATGAAAATAAATATGCACTAATAGAGATGTTAAAATTTTAGTGCATTGTAATTACCACTCAGACCAGGGCCTTTCAATGTGTGACTAATGAAAGTAAGATCCCTTTCCTTCTCACTCAGCATCACGCGTTGCAAGTTAAAAAATAACCCACTGCTGCATGGAGAAAAGGAAACCCATTCCAATGTTAAATAATTTAGGAGGCAGTCGGTGTGTTGATGGCAAGGAAGCTATACATTTATCTGGTTGGCTTTAGATGAAGCGCATACCAGTGTTTCCCAGTGGTTAAAACATGTGGTATTCCGTCATTCCTAGTTGCACTTCCTAGAGCTTCATGAAATTGGTCTGCAATTGTTGTCTCAGGGACGACAGCTTTCAACACTTGAGGGATTTCCTAAAGCAACGGTAGGAAGATATTTAGCTGTATCAATTTCTTTACATAGTTTCCATGAGAAAATACTTAAGGCAGTACTTTACCTCACCATCACTTGATGGTATATCATCATCATCTGCACCCCTATCACCCAAAGGTGATATATTTCTCCTTGGAAAGTGTGTTATCCTTGTTCTGTTTATATTATAATACTACACAAATCCAATGAAAGTAATGATATTACAAAAGTCAGATGGTATATATGAGGAAATGGAAGTTGGAGGCAAGCTGACCTTCACAGAATTCCCCAACTGCAAAGACCTTTTCTCCTGAAAACAGTCCAGAAGCTCAGCCATTGATCGCTCACTAGATTTGTGTTCAGTTGCTATGTCAGATGGTGCTGCATCATTCCCTATCAGTTCTATTTCATTTTCTTGCATATTACCTAATGAGTCTTTCAACCCACTCTTCCCAAGCATATGTGGATCTGTACATAAATCTACATTTAGTGGAATCTGAGAGAGTGAAATGTTACTTTTAAAGGTGTCACCACCAACTACAGAATGACTGGCTTCTTTTTCTCTGTGGTAGCAAAATAAATGACTGTGCTTCACACTCCCTTGTCTTCCTGCATCATGTGATCGCTTCTTGTAAAAATTAGCTAACAGTGTGTTGAAAGAGGATAACAAAAGAAAGAGAGATGTTTAACATACTGAGTATGTTAAACAAAAGAAAGAAAGAAAGAAAGAAAGATGGCTCTATATGCTATTTCAAAAAATCATCCTTCTTTGGATTCTACAAGGATATGATATTTAAGAATTATATATATGATGGAGTAGTTTTGTCACCACCTTCAAATCTTGGGGATTTTAATGTAATTAGCCCAAAGTATGCTTGGATTACTTAACACAAGTACACGCTGACTTTGTATTGCTAGCCAAATGCATCCGATATAGTACTCACTTTGTCCCTATATAAACTTCTTGTATGTCTTTTAGGACGTCCCCAAGGTGGTCAAAGTTGCCAGGTGCACTCAAAGCTCTAGGGCACTCCAGCGTTTGAGCCGCAAAACACAAATAAAACACTTGTCCGACTCGTGTTGGGCAAATTGTTTACAATACATTACATTTATTATTCTACATGATGTATGTTTAGAATATATTACATATATTGTATCAAATGCATTAAATAAATCATCTTTCTCAAAACAAAGTCATGATTCACCAAAATAAAGTTATGGTTCACAAAAGAAAGACACCAGATCAAGAGTTCATAACTTAAATAATAAAACATGATTAGTTTCTAGCCCAACTTCCCTTGTTAAAATTCTCAAGGACTATTCATCATTAAAAGGAGTTTGTTTCTTCTCCATTATCTGATTTAATATAAAATGAATGACTGGAGTCCCTCGGGGACTATTTATCATTTAAAGAGGAGGTTTCAGCGCTGAGCAGCTCACGTGAGTGGATCACAGGAGAGAGCAATGAAGTCATGATAGAAGACCATTATTGTGACTTCAAAGGATTTAACATGGGTTTAGGTTGTTTTGATCTATTATTTGGATGGACTGTATCTTATTATAAATATGGGCTTATTATTTAAAATTTAAAATAGGCTCAAACAGAAAAATAGGCTGACAAGCCTTTCCCAGCCCAGGCGATAAAAGGGTACGCTTCTGGCGCATAACGTGTACCTCAATCAGATGTGTGCTCCTGGCAGCCTAACAGGTGCTGACCCTCTTATGTGCCTCTCCTGGTGTGCTTAAGTGCCCAGGCACTCACTTTTGACTACACTAGACATCCCTAAATAAACTTGTAGTCATATTTCCTTATTTGGAAAAAAAAATCAAAATCAATTTAATATACTAGCCTCAAATATGTACAGTGTAAAAACAGTGTCAAAAAGCACACTCTACTATAACGAGCAAAAATTCTGATTTCTTTATTCTTTGATGGTCAAAGTAGGATCTTCTTTAAGAGGCAAAGGGGGTATAATTTTACCATTAAGTTTCTTCATGGTTTCTTCCTCACCAGTCACCATGACATACTTAAATATTGAAAAGATGTATTCATAAGACCAAAATAATTACATCAAGAAGCACATGACCGATCCTTGAAAGTGTGGAACTTTCCATTATGGAAGAATTGAAGCAATCATAAAGCTCAACCGTTTTATATGAATAACTAAATACAGTCCACAAATGTTACCAAGCTATAAGGAACTAGCACCATTAGTTGGATGAATATGTTTCGGCGAGATACCACACACTAATGAGCAGCCAGACTTTTCATTGTTGGAATAGAATGCCTCAGTATGCTCATATAGAATGCTCTCTGTCTCACATTTAACACTTACAACATTAAGTTTCTGCATATGTTTGAACAGAAAACGGGATGTAACAGAATTTCATAGAACCATAGATACTTAAAGCAAGTAGTGGAGTTTGTCTTGTATACCTCATCATCAGAAACAGTTTCCTCTTCAGAGTTGCAAATACCTTCCAATACAGGAAATAACCCAATTTCCTCGTCTGGATTGCAAGATGAAGCCACGCTGAAATGGTGCTCATTGTTGAAAACAGGAAGCTCAACATCATCATCAATACATAATTCATTTCGCCTCTGAGATAACAAACAAGAATAATCAGCCCCTAACATAGCGACTGGAACTATCCATCTAAACTTGTAAGCTTGTATCGACCAGTATATTTGCATTTTTCCTTCCACTAACCATAAAAATGATAGCAGTCAAAGATCGGTAATCTAAAGCTGTACCGGCCTTTCCAATAAACACAAATAATATCAGTCATCATCATTACCCCCGTGCCGCAAAGGCTCCCACCAACGGTGGGGTAAGGGGGGTCGGATGTACGCAGCCTTACCCCTGTACTGAAGCACAGAGAAACTGTTTCCGGATGACCCATAGTGAAAAACACGTCGAAAATAAACACAAATAATATCAGTAAGTGCATTATTTCATATTATTAACTCAACTTCTTATTCAGGAATAATTGCATATTTGGATTAGTTATAGACCAGGGTACAATTAGTCAACTAGTTCGAATTCGATTTTGGCAGACCAATTGAACATTTAGTGTAGTTTCTAAATATGGAAATTTCAATTACATATATTCAAAATGACTTTAACTTCAGTCAAACCTCTTACACTGAAAATATAAACAGAAATAGGGACGGGTGTAGTATTATTTTTGTAGGTCACCAATTTGTACAAGTAGAAAACAACTATTATACCCATTCAACAATTTGTACCTCTGGAGATTCAGGGATAACCATGGATGTACAATCAAGTTTATGAAGATCTGCACGTTAATACGTGATAGAGAACGTTAAATTTCAAAATATGCAATTACATACTCAGAAACAAGCATTTCTGAGGACAAGGCTAAAGAAGAATGTAGATGAGGCTTCAAAGTTTACCCTTTAGTGTCTCTAGCTGTGAGAGAATCCCTATATTTCCCTGCACATGTATGATCAGAAAGGACAAGAAGAACAAATGAGCATGAAGAGCATCATGATTATTTATGAATTCTTTTCCTGCTACCTCTTTTGATAAATACAAAACTGCTGCAATGTCCAATGCTAAAACCGACTCATGAGTTAAGGGGTTGAAAAATTAAAAAAAAATTAGATTTAATAACATGCTACTCTTACTGAAAGCATATAAACCTTATATTAAAAAACAAAACTGAACTTAGCCCCTTCTAAAGTGGTTCTGTACACAACATCCGTAAAAAATACGGAGTATAAGACAAATCAGAGTTAAAACACACAGCTAGCTCTTTTCAGAAATGTGAAAGTGCTGCAATGTTCATTGCTCAAATTGCCTCATCTATAAAGGGTTGCAAAATATGAAAATAGATTTAAAGAAACTATGTATTTAACAATTGCTACTCTTACTGCACTCCATACACAATAGACAATACACTGTGAACTTAGCCATTTATTAAGTAGTACTGTACTCAGCATCCATGAATTGCGGAAATTTGAGAGAAAACAGTTTCAACACAGTTACCGACCTTATTATCAGCAGGACTGCCAAGGGAAACACAACTCGTTGACCATTTATAATCTATATCTTCATCTTCTGATTATGAGCAAAATAAAAAAGACAGATCAACATAATAATAAACATACATCTACCTACCTAAACATTGCACTGTTGTCTGTTGTTCATCAAAATGAGTCTTACCAGAAATACTTTGATCAGAATCTTCGCTTTCCTACAGTAACGAGTTAACGATGAAGTTAATAGTTTTTGTTAACTTTCATTATCAATTCCGCGGACAAAAGCTATAGTCAAAACAAAATTGAAGATGCTCATACCGTGGGAAACATCGTTGTTCGCCGTCAGCCGCCTCCTTGGAGTGCCGAACAACGGAACAACCGAATGTACGCCGGCAATACGAAGCACTTAGTTAAGGTCGCCGTCAGCTCCAACGGTACAAGTCGGAAACAGGTATGGTAAAACTGTACAAGTCAGTAAAACCGGTCAAGGTAGAAACGGCCATGTTTTCTTTTGACGGAAACAGGAGTATGGTAAAACTGTACAAGTGGCTTCTACTTTTAAAAAGGGATTTTTTAAAGTGATTTTAGAGAAAATATAAAAGTAAAACTGTACAAGTGGCTTCTACTTTTAAAAAGGGATTTTTTAAAGTGATTTTAGAGAAAGAATAAAAGTTGGTACTGTTTGAAAAAGGGGTGATTCTAAAAAAGTAAAAGTTGGTAGTGTTTGGCAAAATAAATATTTTTTGTATAATAGAAAAAGTGAAAAGCAGTTTAAAGCACTCTTCCACCTGCTTCCAGCTTTTAGCTTTTAAGAGATTAATTTAAGCAGAAGCTGTTATTTGAAAACACTCTTTTCAACTTTTTTTAAGCCAAAAGCTGAAAAACGCTTTTTTTAGTCCTAATCTTTTTTTTACACGGTATTTAGTCCTAATCTATGTTGCACGTATACGGAGACGCGCGCTGATACGCCGATACACGAATACGGGTACGGTGATACGGCAATTTTAAAAATTATAGGATACGGGTGCGGGCGTATATTTATAAATAATAAAAATATAGGGTATAATTTGCAAATATATATAATTCGGAGGTTCATAAATTAAATAATAATAGTACAAAAAAATAACTATTATAATAAAATTTCAAAGATTAGGCTAAAAAACTAAAGTAATGATATTTGAATTTAAATTCAAATAATACTTTTTGCTCTCTATTTGCATTTACATCTAAGTCTTGTCAATTAAAGTTCATCAAGCGATAAAATGAAAAATTATAGTATTCCATTTCCATACTCTCAAAACCATCTTTATCAATTTTCCATATCTTGTTGTTGCTTTGGCGGTTACAAAATTTTCGTCACGGTGTGTATGGACTATGGAATGAAGGTTATAGGGTTAGATACGCGTATCGATTTACGGATACGGGTATCGGAAGTATCGGTATTTTTAAAAATAAACCCGATACTTTTATTACATTACGGATACAGACCCAAAGTTGAGGTACTAAATTGAGATACAAAGTCATCTTAGTTATCAGGTAAACATTTCGACTACAGATTTATCTTTGAGAAACCATGCACAGGTAATGCTTTATTGATTTTTCTGAACTTCTTAACTGTGAAGCAGTAATAGAAAGGGAAAACTTAATAATCTAGCCGCACTGATAGTGTACAATTTGAAAGATTTTTCAGGTGTTTCAAGTAATGAATTAGTGTGGTTATTTAAACGACTTTTCCTTTCAGTTTTATGTTAAAGTGTTTTATTTATCTAACTTCATATATTACTTTTGCAATTTTTAATGCCATAGATCGATAAACTGCCACTGAAAAGTCTAATCTTTCTAACTTTATATACTACTCCTGTATTTCTAATGTTGTGGATAAAGTGAACCTGAAATGTCTATTTACATATAACTATTCTGTATTGGTTTTAAATGATTAAGAATAAACAATAACTTTCAATTAATAGCTTATGAGATCTGCCAAATATATACTGGAGTGGAAATCAGGGTGAAGGATATTTTAACTAAGCAGTTTGTTGATTTTATTAACAGCCTAATCAGATCATTCAATATTGCTCTTTTTTGGGTTTAAGGAGTTCGGACCTATTGAAAATCAAGTTCCATTACATGAAGTTGGTGAAAAAATCTGAGCTTGGGAACCTTTTGTTTGTTATTTTGAGCTTTCATTTATGTTAATATTCATCTTTTGATTATTGTTTGGTTGAGTTTGAACTTAAAATACATAATATTGGATTCTATTAAAAGGGCACCGGACAATTCAAACATTATGATCTAAAATAAGTTTATCAGGTTGATCTCAAGCGAAATCCGTAGAGATTGTTTTGATGTAATGTTTTGATTTTTTTATGTACAGAGATTTTTTATAAAATGATCTTCTTATCGAAGTTTTTCCAAACAATCAGCTCAGTGGAAACTAACCTTATTATTAGCCTTTAGACATTTCATAAAATTTGGCTTTTAACTTTTAAATATACAGTAATACACATTATGGCTTACTATGTGTCTTTTATTGTGTCAAAAGAATGTTTGGGTATAAATATGTAAGTGAGACATATTCAAAGCAATGGAAATCATTGAAAATCAATTTATTCAGTACATTGATAATAATAAATGCTCTCAAGTATGTATCTTCCCCTCATCTCTTTACTTTTTATCTTTGTCAGGCGTGTGACAATATTAGTGATGTACGGAATATTTAGTAAATCTACCTCCGCCTTAGTAAGAATATCTACGCGCAACGAGAATGGGATCTGCTTTAGGGACTTCCACGAAGTCTGTTCCTGCTACACATGCTCTTCCATGCCCTCTTTTAGGGGTTAAGAACATGTGAATATCATTTGAAACATAACATGAGTACTTCTCACACATCCATGTGGATTTGGTCCATGTTTATACTTAACATTTTTGTCTACACGGTACTACTTTGGTAAAATTTAGACATGCAGTGTGGAATACCATCACTTAATATCATTTAGTGGTATCCCATTTACATGAAAGGTATTCTTATTCCCATATTGACCATTTAATACTCCCGTATAATTTAAGGGTATCCTATGTGCACTAAAGAGTTTTTTACTCCCCAAATGGTGTTACAATTGAAGTTTAGTAATTGAATTTAGCTTTGGTTTGGCACTACTAATTTCTTATTTGGCTAACCTAATTAGAGGAACGATACATGTTTAGCGCACGAGTGAAAATGTTGTAACGAAAGAAATGTTTATAAAAACTATTAGATCACAAATGTATGCATACGTGTGCAATCATTGATAAATAATGGAACAGATGCAGCAAATGGGGTTTAATTTCTTTTATACATACTCTGTATACAATGTCATATACACATGCATATATATAAACACTAAAGTTTTGATATTAATTAAAACTTAATGGTATACCCTATAATGTAATGAAGATTTCATGTTATCTGACTATAATTAAAACACTAATTTCAAGTTTTTATACTCTGTGATTTCATGCATATATAAAACACTAAAGTATCATTAAAATAAATATTTTCTTCTACTTCGTGTTAATTAATGGTATACCCTATAATGTAATTTCATGTTATCCGACTATAATTTCAGTTCTTTTTACCAAACAGGTCTTAATGACTATGGGCATGTTTGGCATTCAGCGGTTAGCGGTTGGTGGATAGCGGATTATGTTAGCAGGTTGTCAATAGCGGATTCAGTCAGCGAGTTTGACTAAGGGAATAAATTGGTGGGTTGTTAAAAGATGTTTCGTTATTTTGCTGTTTGGTCATAAAATTAGTAAAAAAAAAACGCCTTTTTTCAAAACGTCAACTCAAAACTCTCCTATTAGTAGCGTTTTCATTTCAGCGTTTTTGTCAAAAAAACGCTAGTGTCGAACCGCTATTTACCAAACAGCTTTTTCAGTTGTTGAAAACGATGAAAGTGGTTAAACCGCCATTTTCCAGTTGAAACGCCGTTTAACAAACACCCCCTATACTACTATATTAAAGTTACACCCATGAATAAAAGAATTGCCTTTTATACACACTCCAGCTTATTTATCTAGCTCTTAAACAACACTTCTAGGGTCAGGATATGATTGTTCTATACTTCTATGTAGTTAATAATATTTTCCGATAGATGAAACTCTCGGCCCGAAAATATCAAGATTATATTAATATATACACTAAAGTGAACAATAACTTTTACTTTCACAAATGAGATCAAAAAATTGATTCCAACTGAAAGTATCCTTAATTACAAAGGTGAACATAAATTTGAGATATCATTAAGACAAATGGGTAAAAAAAAATAAGTACACATTTAAAAATAATGCCGCCAACGATTTTTTTTCAAAATAATGCTACATAAAAAATTATTTACAAAATTAGGAGTGATTTAAAAATAGTTTCAAAAATATTGTTAACTCTAGTTAACTAAAGCCGCCAACTGAGTTGACCAATTGCTCCAAAATCGGAAGTTTCTCAGGAACGAAGCTAGCGGGTTTCAAGCTCAAAATCACTTCATGGGACCCCCCAAACCCAAAACACTTCATATGAATTTTTTATTTATGATCCGATTTTTATAATTAAAAATATCAAAATTCATGATTTTTATCTTTCATATGACACCAATATTATATATGGAAAAATAAAATATAATTTTGAAAATGCTACAATTAGGGAACATTTTATCTATTGAATGAAAGTGTCTTAAAGGTACATTAGGTTCTAAAATATTTATTTAAAAACAGCTCAAATCAAATCAACAACAATGCTCACTTACCAACCTTCTCTCTTAAAAATCAGAAAGCACAAAAAACACTAGCGAGAAAGGAAAAACACAAAGGACAATAAAAATCAATTTTTAAAAATTGCTATAAATTATTTTATTTATAATACGGATTTTACAAAAAATGTATCAAAATCCAAAAATTATTATTATCTTTCCTATAATACTGACATTGCATATATAAAAATAAAAATAAATCTAAATATACTGTTGATGGAGGTTTTATGCTAAAAACAATTCTTAAGTGGATCCAAGTTCTAAAATTAAGAGGATCACAAGCGTTTTATATTGACACTTTCAGAAATAAATTTAATGACTCCATCAACGATATATTTAGATTTACTTTCTATTGTTATGTACTCCATGTAATATTGGTGTCATACGAAAGATAATAATAACTTTTGAATTTTGATACATTTTTTTTAAAATCAAATTATAAATATAAATTACGTATTTTTTCACTTTTTTATCATATGGTGGATATGATACGTGTTCTAGAAAGTGGTCTGTGGTTGTTTCAAAAAATTGTTGGTTCTTAAGGAAGTTAGGCCAGAGGATA